AGTAATACTGTTTCGGAAGTACGTGGAGGAAATCACCATCCCCACGACTGAAACCTTCGAAATATCTGTGGAAAAATGTTTCCATCAAGAATGTCAGACTCTTTTCAAAAGAATCGATGAGTCTATTTACCCACTCATCCACCCACCCAGTTCACATAAGGCTTAATGTAATGTCAAACTGATATGAGTATTGTCACTGAGATTCCCGCAGATCGGCAGAAATATGCGTTTTAAAGAATGACCTTCGAATGACCTTGAGAAATTTAAAGGTCTCTATTCGGAAAACCCATGGACTGATATTGTCGTGACTATGACAAAGCTGTGGCCTGTGCGTGACCTCAAACTTACAAGAGCATTGACACATCCCTACAGATCATAATAGTAAGATTTCTAGTTCTCGGGGCGATACCCGAAGTTGGAAACAGTGATCACCTGTAAAACTTCAGTCAGTCTATAAGCTGCTACACGTCGCAAAATTCCAGAAGAATTTCTTAATTCTTCTTTATCAAATATTATTAGGGTAATCAAATCAAGGAAGAAGATAAGAGCGAGACACGTAGCACGCACGGGAGATGATGAGATGTGAATGAAAAATTTTAGTCAGAAAATCTGAGGTAAGAAGCTACTTTGGATAAAATGTCGTGGATGTGAAGATCTTTAACGGGGTATTATGTTGAGGATGTTGAAGTGGACTCAACTGGCACAGGGTAGGGTCCAGTGGTGGTATCTTGCAAATACTACTACTACTACTACTACTACTACTACTACTATGGCGTAACAGCCCAAAATCGAGCCCTAGCCTCCTCAGGGTATCTTGCAAATACGGATACGAAACTTTCGGGAACGTTTTCATCAGCTGGGCGACTATCGACTTCTCAAGGTCTCTGCCGTCATGCATGACTTAGTCAGTGAGGCAAATAGATAAACAGTCAAATATCGTATGTAAACAGATAAACAATACTACTACATTAAGTAGGTTTGAAAAGGTCGTTTCCAACTTAAAACTTTATAAAATTACCGATTTACAGACGCAGAAGACATCCTTAGTGAACCTCAATGTATTAACAGCTATGCTGTACTCGAATGAAAACAGAACGCGTTCACTGTTCACTGCACATTAAATATTTACACCAGGTCTGGCTTCCACTGTTCAATGCTACAGTCTATTTTCAGGCGAATAAAATCTCTTGACTCCATGGTCCAGCGACGAAGCCAAATTGAATCGATTAAACCAGGGTGGCCCAACTCTTTCTTCCTTCGGACCAAGAATAGTTTCCCCGTTGGACCCAAGAGTCAAGAAAATGCCTCCCGGCACTTCTTCTTAAAGCTGTTAGCTAATTTTCAACAATTTTTAACAATACTTATTCAAAAATGGCAATATATCACAAATATAAGTTTACTGAAATGTACAAATATTACTACAGGGTCGCATACTATTTTAAAATTGTTCCTGCTGCAACAGCTTGTATCTGACACAGTATTTACCCGAAAAACTTACAGCCAAATGTGGCCCGTGGGCTGCCAATTTTTCTCACGATGAAACAAATGTCAAATGGTAAACAAATTCTGAAGACGGACAAAATACCAGGTGATATTCATGTCCGTCACTGTAAATCATGGGTACCAACAGAATCAATAAATGTCAATGACAATTTCAATGTCAAACAGATAATTTTCTTCCAGCACTACGGGAAAAAAATTTGAAGTTTAACAAAAATGTAATGACTTTCTAATGAGATGCAAAAATATAAATCATATAAACATAATTAAAAAAAATACCTGACTCTAAATTGCGTCTCAGTTTTAAATGTCACACTTAAAATACAAAATTTTATTAATAGTTCGCATTATAAATGGATTTAGAACACGGATTAGTTCGGCATATACATCAATCATGATCGGATGAATGTGACTGACAGGCCGGTTTACCAGCAGGTTAATTAACGTAGTTCTTCTTGACAAGCTGAAAGGAGCTCAGGTTGCCAATGAATTCCCTGTCTTCTATGAAACCCTCATGCCTGATACCGAGATCACAGCACCCTGTCCTAGAGTCATGTGAATCTAGCCCACGCCAACATTATATTTCCCTATGGCCAGTTTAATATTATCCTCCCATCTACGCCTACGTCCTCCAGTTAGTCTCTTCCCACCACGGTTTATTTGCATTCTAAATGCGAACAATCTCAACAGAACTCAGATCTTTTACAAAAGTATTTTTCAGCATCTAATTTCGGGACTCCACACTGATGTGGCTCCCAGCACGCAAGTCAGCAATTCCACCATGTTAATAGTATTCATGGTAGAAAATTAAAAACTACAAAGAGTAAATTGCCTCCAGTGTTATAATGTTCGTACCGAATTTCATTAAAATCCACCAACTGACATAAAAACTGTTTGGAAAAAAAGACACACACACACACAACTGTCGACTTGAATACGAAATTTTGCCCACATCGATCAACTGGTTTATCCCTCACGCTTAACCAGACTGGAGAATCGTGAAAGGTTGGAGGTTCAAGGTATCTGAACAAGGTCATATTTCAATATTACGAGAGTTTAACATCGGGGCATACGATGATGTCACTGTGAAGGTAGAGCAACGTAGCAAGAATTTTAAACTTTAAATTAACCACAGTGAGACGCCGTGAAAGCGTTCCAATCTTATTGCAAGTTGTAATGAATGAGGTCTCTCTGCTAGGCAATTAATTTGTCTATGATGTTGCAATTCCAGTCCGGTAAAGGAATTTATGTTTCATGCTAACCTGTTCTGCATTCTCAACGTTATGATCAAGTATTTGTAATGCTCGCAGTTGGTACCTAACAAGAGCATCAGTTTCTATAGCAACTACTCTTGTAGGAAGAAATATAGCAATTTTCGTCAAGCTAAAACTACCTTTGCTCCGATCCCCTGCCGAGACGGTGTGTGTGCGGGGGGGGGGGGGGGGGGTTCCAGGTCCAATACGTATTCTCTTCAAACGTATCATAGCACACTGAGGTTCGCGAACACAGGTCTGCTCTCAGAAACCTGAATTATTTGAAATTCAGTTCACATCCTCACATCCTACTTCTTTAAGATCATCTGTAATATCATTCTGTCCTCCAAGTCCACAGCCTCTCACAAAGTCTTTTTCATTTCAGGTTTGCGTACGTTTCTCATGTCTCAGATGCGATTTACAAACTCAGTCCATCTCAAGTCTCTGGACTACCCTCATAATTTCAGATGGCACTACAAATTATGAAGCTCCTCATTATGTAATTATTTCAATGTTACAGTTTCTAGTTATGTGTGGTGTAATAACGACGCGCCATACACATACATACTCAAACTACAAGATTAATGAAAAATAAATTCGACAGGTAACGGAAGGAAGCGGGCGTGAATAATATGAAGAAATGTCCTACCCATCTGTCTGGCTGGACTAAGAAAGACCATTAAAAAAACCTCATTCGTCGGGCCGAGATTTTAACCCAGGACGTCCAGATTACGAGACACAAGTCACACCCGCTCGACCAAGATATTCGGTCATCCTCTTGTTACTTCCATTTTAGTCGTCGACATTTCCTAATCAACAATCTGTATTATTGTTTCACAGAATTTTTTTTTAATGTTGGATTTTGAGCTGGAAATGGGAAAGGTTGGACATCCTTGCAATTCAGAGAATTTGGGAACTAAACGCAGTTAAGTGCGGTGTCAGTTTCATCTCGGATTTGGTTCAGTTAATTCTTATTTAGAGTGTAACAACTAAATGAAACAAAAGCAAACAGCAATCAATCACTGACAGGGCAACGCATTTCGACAAGCAAAACTCAATTAGTGACTATGAATTTACGACTGGCGATCTGCTTTCCAATCCGATATGATGACGTGATTTTTAAGTTATATTTTATCAAGAATTTAACACACATTTAATTAAGTAGGCTTCATATCCCGCAGAAAATTTATATTTATCCGTTCAAAAAAATCGGCATTTCATTTGCGTCACGACGTCCTGAATTGATTCAATAAATATTTATTATTATTAGTGTTCTGTCTGACGACAGGTCCATATGAACAGGATCCTTCCATCCTTTTCTCGGACTGGGACCTGTTCATATACGTTCTTGGCAGATGATCCAGAAGTGGTTTGCCATTGCCTTCTTCTGTGTGTGAATGGAGTAATTGTTGGGATGCCACAGAGGAAAACTCCGTGTTGCCTAGACCACGGCCTTGCCCAACACAAGTTATAAATTCGGGTACCACCGGGAATCGAGTCACAGTATATTATCGAATGATATTTTTTGCCTAGGTTACCAGCACGTATTTGTGACAGATGGAGAAGTGCTTACAAGTTGGAGGACAGCATTTCCAGTGCCTTTTGCAAACAAATGTAAATAAGTATTTGGTTTTTTACAGCACAGAAACGTTGTGAGCGTTCTGTACACAGCGCTCGTAAGAAAGGTGACAAAACGTTGTCTGAAAACCACATATCAATATTATTTATTTATTTATAGTTTATTTAAAGACGCTTTTTCAGTAGCTCAGACTATACAGCGTCGAATGAGAGAATGATAGAAAATAATGAATCGGAAAGAATGTTGATGGAAGCGGTCGTGGCCTAACTTAAGCTATTATCTCGGAATTTGCCTGGAGGGACAGATGAAAACCACAACAACCAGCCAGGATAGTCGGTCTCCGGGCGGAGGTTTGAACCAGGGACCTCCCGAATAGAGATGATGTTATTAAAATAGATGTTAGAGAAAAAGTTTGGAATAAATTCCACTATCTGAAGGTAAGAATTGAAAGGCGAGATGTTTCGAAAGCGATAACGAATATTCGGGATTCCATACAAAGAAGTAAGATCATTGACGAGCTATGAAATTGTCACCTTTATCACTAGTAACCTGCACCACGACGTTTTGAGTTTCATTCTTCGCTGAACTTTTGTTAACTCAGTAACCTGAGATCAGGAATAAATTACGCACTGTGCGATGAAATGTGTTGACGAAATATCAGCACATACCTGTTGATTTTGTGGTGGAGATACCAAAAGAAGAAGTTGCTGCATCGACCAATGGCTATCCAGGGAAGAACAGAATCCACCTGCAAATAAAACAACGTATATACAACAATTAATACAGCAGGGGATCTCGTACAAGGATTTCTATGTTGAAACACCAGACTCGGCTCTTCCAAGTAGCATCTGACCTGAAACGAGTCCTTTATTCAATGCCTTCAGGCTACTTTTCCTTCCACTCTGCTGAAAAATAAAATGGATAGGCGTACACATGCACATCACATATGTTGTAAATATACTCTCTCCTTACGCTGACACAGGGGCAGAAAAGTTTATCATCAAATAGGTCAGATATGTACCACCACGGTGGTCTAGCGGTCAGAACACTAGCCTTGTAATACTGGGGGTCCCGGGTTCAATTCCCGGTGGTGCTCA